AGGACTCATCGGAACTGCTCCACGAATAAGCTAGTTAACCATTTTATGCTTTCATTAATGAATATTAGTAGTAATTGAATCCAATTATTGAACTCTATTGTTTTTTTATAAGTAAAATCACTGGCTTTTATCTTGATCACTCAGTTTTGACACACACACTTGGAATATACTGAACTAATAACCCGCAGCACAAAAGCCTTTAATCCATTGTGAGCAGACTTTTATATGTGGTGTGAGAGTTCTTTTCTTTTTTATTTTTTTCTTTTTTTTTGCATAAGGATAACCAATTTTCCTAGCACCATTTATTGAAGAAACCATCCTTCCCCCAAATCTGGAAGACATTAGGTTGACTGAAACAAGACAGATCCATAAGGAAAAACCTAGCATGGGCTCACTTACACGAGGAATCTCAAACAGCCAGAGGAGAGGGCAGAGCCTAGAATGGTGGGTTTTAGGGACTGGGAAGGGGGTTGTGGGAAGGTGATAGTCAGAGGGGACAAAGCACTGGCTATGCAGGGTAAAGAAGTTCTGAGGGCTCAAAGTCAGCAATGTGACCACAGTAACAATGCTGCATTGTGTGCCTGAAACTGCCCTCCTCGAGGGTCAACCTTAAGTCTCTTTCCTCTCTTTGACGAGCACACACACACACACACACACACACACACACACACACACACACAGCCGAGAGAGAGAGAGAGAGAGAGAGAGAGAGAGAGAGAGAGAGAGAGAGAGGGAGGGGGGGGGGGGGGGGAGGGAAAGAGATCCTTAGGCGAGCAAGCTGGGAAGCCGGGCATGGCTATGGTAGCACATACCGGCATTTTGGAAGTAGATAGAAGGACCAAGAGATGAGGGCTAGCCTTAATTACATAGCAAGTGGGAAGCCTGGGCTATGCAAGACCCTATCTTAAAAAATGGAAGACCAACAGAGTCAGGCTCTCGGAGTCTGAACCACTAACCGAAAACCACATACTGGCTGGAGCTAGGCCTCTCTGATCACATGCAGCAGATGTGCAGCTCAGTCTTCATGTGGGTCCTGAACAACGGGAGCAGGGGCTGTCCCAAAAGCTGTTGTCTATACGTGGAGTACGTTCTTTTAGCTGGGCTGCCTTGTCTGGCCTCGATGAGAGAGGAAGCACCCAGATTGGAAGAGACTTGAGGTGCCAGGGTTGGGGGGGTTACTCACAGGGGCCCTCATCAGCTCAGAGGAGAAGGGAAAGGGAGACTAGAGTAGGACTGTGGGAGGGGTGACTGGGAGGGGACAGTGAGTGACATGTAAAGTGAATAAGTGAAAACTAAAACTAAATTAAAATAATGTAAACAGATTAACAGAATGAAATGATGGTCAAATTAGCTAGCTTATATGATAACACACCCACCCACACACATAAAGCCCAACACATCTTATATTTTAAATATATATAATTAGTCCTCTATACAAATAGTAGTAGGATGGGAAAACCCTCCACGACACATGTAAAGGCGACTAATAAAATGGCCCATTGATTGCTTGCCTGTCCGACTTCTGTCTCACCTTACATCCAGACAGCGAGTGAATCCCAGCGATGTATTGTATCAGTAAAACAGCTCCCTTCTCAGAGCTGGACGGACAGCTGTCCGAGAAGGGTTATAAAGGCTAGTCTGTCTGCTGTGTCCATCTCTGTGAGGACAAACATGTTAATTTAAAGGGTTGTGTCTATACGAGCCTGCAGGCTGGCACCGGCTGGGCATCAGGATGTGGGTACCTCTTGGTGCTGGTCCTCACGCCCCCTACTGTGGTGATCAGATGATTTTCACAGTCAACCTTGTCTTCCTCATTCACACTGCATTTTGTATTTTGGTGGCTTTTATGACAAACACAAAGTGTCTATTCCACTACATGTCTTCTGACTCTGCTCCTGCCCTGTCTCCTGCATCCACAAGCCTCCCTGTTCCTTCACAAGTATCAGTGTCGTGATTCTGAAAACCAACAGTGACATTCGTGTCAGGCACTGGCTGTGGTGTCCTGGGTGCTGATGGAGAGGGATGTACAAGGACCTGTCTGGTCATCTTTCGGGCTTGTTGCCTGTCATGTGCCCTGTCCCTAGAAGGACTTTTGAGGTTTTCACCAAAGAGCTTATTTGTAAGGCATGAAGAACAATCGTTTCAGATTTGTGTGGACTTTCTAAAGGCACCTTGCTTTCTAGAATTCAAACGTATGTCATGGCAACACAGACTCTTTTACAGGCACAGGGGAGTCAAGGGCGACATTGTGGGTCAAGCATGTGGAATTCTGGGTAAAGCATACATCGCTAAGGTATGGGATGGTTACTCTGGGTACTTGTTTTCTGCTTTTGGGTATTTTTGTGTGACCTGGGTTGTTCTCTAGATCCTTGCCAAAATGAACCTATAATTCTAACCCTAATTGAGACCAGGATCCTAACCCTAATCTTCTGGTGTAAAGAAAGGACCCCAATGTGACTGCCATCCATTTCAAGTAAACTTGACTTTGTTGTATGCCTTTCTACCATGTGTCTCTTTCCTGTGATGACTTACACACAGTGAACAATGGTTCTTAATGCTTTCAAAGCTAATAGTGCATTGTTTAACAAAGGTGTGTGCGTGTGTGTGTGTGTGTGTGTGTGTAGTGTGTGTGTGAGTGTATGTATGGTATGTGTGTGCATTTGTATGTTCAGATGCTCTTGCCTGTGTAAGTGGAAGTCAAGGGTTGACTTCAGCGTCTTCCTTAACCACTCTCCACTCTATTTAATGAGGCAGGGCCTCTCATTGTACATTGAGTGCACCCATTCAAGTATTCTATCTAGCTCTCAGGAATTCTGCCACTGCAACCTGAGTGCCAGCATTATAGGTAGTCTGCTGTATGCCTGCCTGGCTTTTATTTGTGTTCTGGAGATCTGAACTCTGGTCCTTATGTTTGCACATCAAGCCGTTTATCTCTGAGTCACTTCTACTGCCCCCAGTCACTCTGTAGCCAGATGCACACTCCACAGTCCTCAAGACTGAGTTTGAGAAACAAGGGGGCTGGCCAGCTCAGAGGTCTAGAAGCAATGAGAACTCACCTATGGATTCTGATCACCCCTGACCAGTAAGACCTAAATCCACACATGGTCAGCCTACTCAGATGTCTGATGTGCCTGCTCAGTGTCTCCATAGCATGGTCAGTAGGAACAGCATGCACACATTATGGCAAAGACATTTTGATGCACACCTGACAAAGATATGTGCACAGTGTATGCTCAAACTGTCTTCAGTGGGAGATCCTAGTGCCCAAATGATGACAGAGAGCCCTTACCATTGAAGGCCAAGGCATCATGGAAACACAATAGAGAAGGATGGATACACAGTTCTATAAGATATGCATGTGTTGACTATTACAGCCTCCTGCATCTGAGGTTTGTCCAGAAATAACAGGGGATGTTGCAAAGGCTGAAAAGAATGTGTGAGATTCCCACTACTCTTTTCTACTAAAATGTGCATATGCATGTACACACACACACACACACACACACACACACACACAGAGCACACATGTGCATATAACAATTCATATTTCTTCTCATCCTGAATTCTCCCTCCCCTTTCATCACTAGTCCAGCCCAAGGATGCTACTCTCCCAACAAGAGGTGAGATGAGTGTGGTGGTGAGCAGACATCTCAGGGATAATGCCAAGCAGAGTTCCCAGGCACCAAGAAGGTAGGGTAGTGGACGGTTATGGGCGGCGTAGCGGTGGTCCCGGGGCGGGCGGCCGGGCTTGAGCTGGAGCGCAACAGCGTGTGGGGCATTCTGGGAACCGTGACTCTCAAGAGAAGGTGTCCAGCGGCCTGCTAGAACAAAAGGCTTCTCTCTCCCACTCCCGCCTCGCTGCGCCGGTTTTGACCTTACACAATGAGTCCAGGATTCCAAGAGGTGTGTAGAGCTGAAGACATTTATTGACATGGCGATGTGTCTGGCGTGCTTTTCCAAAAAATGTCGGAAGGGGTTTGCTTATATTGGAAGGGGGGGGGAGAAGGGCGGGGCCAGGGAAATCCTGAGGCAGAGACTTGTTCCCCCGCCCTCTAATTGGGACATAGAGACCTCGTGGCAGGTCTCTGGGCTCTGGGGGCGTGGCCAAATACCCCAGGGTTCCACATCCCCACAGATGATGAGTGTGGGTCATGCGTGGGCTTTGCAGTTTTTCACTACTGACTGACTATCCTGGGAAGAGAGCTGTCATGAAGATCAAGGAGTGGTCACACTGTGTTCTATTGAAATGTCACAAGAAATGAAGTATATTGTAAGAACAGCAGTATACCAACGGCAATGTCCCAGGATGAGCTAAATCTCTGTCAACTAGGCTGGGGATAGTTAACTTTTGTATCTGTGATCCTCATGGTGATTAACCATAAAACCATAATTTGGTGATAGAGTAATATTCTTTTCCTTCTTATTTACATGACAGAATTGTGTCAATAGTTTTATAGTATGTCATAAGCATGCTGTAATATCCATGATTATTTTTAAATGTTAGTGATCCAACCCAGGGCCTTGGACATCGCAACATGCTAGACAAGTGTTCAACCACTTGGCTATAACTTCAGTGCCTAGCATTCAGGAATTTATTTGGGTACAAGATGAGGCATTTAAAAATATTTGTCAGAGAGGCTGGGGAGATGTCTCAGTGGATAAAGTTCTTGCAGCACAAACATGAAGGTGTAATTTTGGATCCCCAGAACCCATGCAAAAGCCAGGCGTGGTTCCCATGTCTCTATACTCAGCACTAGAGGATGGGTACACTGCTAGAAATAGGTAGATACCAAGGGCCAACCAGTCCAGGGGAATCACAGAGCTCAGGATTAAAGTGGGGATGGGGGAGGGGGTGTAAACTTATCTTCACCGAAACTGTTGTCTCTATTTCTCTCTTAGGCAACAAATGAGGTAAGGACTGTGCTATCAGGCAGGTGAGAGGCAGATGTCTGTAGTCAGAAGACAAGAGGATGCCTGTCTGTACAGCAATAAAGAAAAATGAAATGATGGCCTTTTCAAAGAAATGGACAGAATCATTGTACTACACAAAATAAGCTAGCTGCAGAAAGACAAATATGGTATGTTTTTATTTCATATGCAGAATCCAGCTTTAAAATTACATATACAGACATATAAACACACGTATTTACTCAAAATAGTAAAAAATGGGAATGTAATTTGCATATGCATGAATGTGGCTTTGGGGTAGTCTTTTCGAAGTGGAATCATTGACTCAAAAGTTGTGAGTGTGTTAAAAAATAAATCATTTTCAACCTGGCTCCACATAGAGATGGCAGCAGAGTACACACCCAGGGTATCAAACAGCATTTGACTCTTGATAAGCCAAGTCACACAGTCTAATGGCAACTTTTGAATTTTGGACAGAATGGGTAAAAAATATCTTTCATTAGGCAAAATGCTGGTTCTTAATTTGTCCCTCATAAAAAAGCAACATAGGCTAGATTTAAGTTCTCACACTGGCTATGAAAACCTTCTGCCCACATCCATTCCCTGAGCACTGGGGTGGTGGTATTGTGCTACTATGACCAGTTTCATGCTGTACTGGAGAGCAAGCCTAGCGCTTTGTGTAAGTGGGCTTCATCACAGCCCACAAGTTCTCTTTTCTAAACCAAGATTTCCATGATTCAAATAGATCCAGCTGTGTCCCATCAATGACCGTAATGGGCACAAGTGAGTGGTTAACACAGAGATGCTAAAACCATCTACACAGCAAAGTGAATATTTAAAAGCAACTTAATAAAATCCATTTTAACGGTTTCCTTATGCATATCTGTGTGATCTGCCCAAAGCACACCTGGAAGGGTGAATGAAAAAATTAAAACCACACTAAGCAAGCACAAAGGGTGAGTCATGCAAATACTCCTCTTAATAGAAATTCCCTTTTGACCTGACGAGATATAACCAGCCCATGAAAGGGTTACATCCTGAGTGACTTGGGACCATGACATCTGATCAGATTTTTACTGTATGAAATTGGTAACTGTTGTCAGCTATCTAAGCTTAACTCATCAGACTGGAAACTAATCTGGTAAATGATTAGCAGTGTAGGCAACACAGATCTGCAGACTTTCCACAGTGTACTAAGATACCTGAGAAGCCCCAGGACTTCAAGGGTCTGCAGACTTCTTTAGGATTAGGTTGAATGGAGACTCATCATCAGTGACTTTTTAACAGTCAGGCCGACCCTGGTGCCTCATTAAATTTATGACCAGTGTCTATTTTATTTCTGTTGCAAATTGTGTCAGCTTCTTTTTATCTTCAAGGTCACAAGCAGTATTTGGACAGACAATAGTATCAACCTGCAGGACTTTGCTGGAGCTCATTTACTACCCGGGACAGTATGGACACCATTAATTTCCTGGACATGCAAAAAATCATTACCGAATAGCAGCCAAGACACTAAATAATTGATTTAATTAATATAACATAATTAAACATATTAAATATTTATACAGCTTGCTGTTTTCTATTGAATTTGTATTGAGGTTGTAGTGATTTTTGCCATGTTCTGCAGGCACCAGGCTATTAATCCTGCAGCTGGAATGCTTAGGGTCATGAATTGCTGGAAGACTCTTCTGCAGAAAGCAAGCTGGATTTAGATTGCTTATTCATAACGTCATTTCATAATGTCCTCTTTGCTCACGTGAGGGAGGTGTTATATGTACTGCTGTATATGCTGGAGGGGAAACTGAACTTTCATGTCTATGAGTTTGTATTTCTAATGTCTGATTCTAATTGTCCTATCCATAATCTGCATCTAGGATCAGCTAGCACCCATGTATCTATCTAGTTTATCTATTTATCCCACTAATATCTATCTATAATCATCTATGTATGAATGAATGACTATCTATCCATCCATCCATCCATCCATCCACCAACCTTCTATCTAATCTTTAGCCATTGTAAGCACTATTATATACTGTATATTATATATTGTGATATGAACTTGTGTATATGTATATGTATATGTGTATTGTGTGCACATTCATATTTGTGCACTGGGATATGGGAGCAGTTGGTAGAGCACTTACCTAGTATGCACAAAGTCCTAGAGAACAAGGCTAGTTGTCAGTTCACAGACACCATCCACCCTTTTTTTGAGACAGTCTCTCACTGTCCTGAGCCAGCCAAACAGGCTAGGCTGGCTGTCTACCTGTCTCCATCTTTCCAGTACTATTCCAAGCATACATCACCACCCTTGGATTTTTTTTTCCTGGTGGTACTGGGGATTGAACTTAGAACCTCATGCATGAGAGGCAAGTATTCTAACCACTGAACCACAGCCCCAGCTCATGCGTGGCTTTTCTTATGTGAGCTCTGGAAGGTTGACTTCAGATATTCATGCTTGTAAGGTAAATACTTTAGAGACTTAGTTACCTGCCTAGCTCCCAAATATGAACTTAGTTAACTTTCACCATAGTCCTCTATGGTAGTCACCATTTTTCAGTTTGACCCCAGAGAGATAAGCTCAGGTACAGACAGTTCTTTTAATTGAGAAGTAGAACCTTCTCTAGATACAAAGGCCTGGCACCTCCTGCTCAGGCACAGAACAGCTATTGAAAAGGTGAACTTTCTTACACTTGTTCACCCCGTCAAATCTGAGGAATCCGAGAAGGCATGCAGCAATTTTGGAATCTGTGATTCATCCACTACACTGGGCTCACATGATACGACACTGTAGTTTTGTGAGCCATCACTTGCTACATGCCACCAAGGAAGACCATTCTTCCATACAATGAAACAGAGTGTCCTTGTAGAGTGGCAAAGCTGCTTGGAACGAGTGTGTGGCAGGGCCATGGGGGAGGGGCTCTGGAAAATGTCCGGTATTCATCTGCTCAATAATCTTAATAGCACGCCCATTGTGCAGTGGAGAGCTTCGAGAACCGGACAAAGGGGATTGAGCTGAAGTGAATGTGGGGGAACACAGTGTGATGAAATGCTTAAAGCAGGGAAGAGTCAACAGGCCAGAGACTGACTGCATTTTGTGGACAGGGAACAGGCCCCTGGGAGACATTTGGCCTCATTTGGTTGGTTGGCAAAAGGCCACACATGACACTGGTGACCAGAATAAAGGCTTGGATGCCCAGGTGGCAGGCTCATTCATAGTCACTCCTTGGTAATACAATGGGATTCCACAGACATCCAGACTAGCTCAGGTAGCTCTTCACCACCCTGCAAATGCATTCCCCAGAGCCAATAAGGTCCCACAGAGCCTGAACTCAGCCCCACAGTGAGGGGGGGCTCTCTGCCTTCAGGTGCACAAGTGTTCCTACTAACGAGGTGTTGATGGGAAAGTAGGTGACACAGAAATATACAGCACACAGGAAAAGGAAGGTGTCTATTACCCGCCAGGAGACAGAATGCATTTCTCTGGCTTGCACAGTAGCAGGTGCCAGCTCTTTGTAGCTGGAGAAGGTTCTACTTCTCAATGAGAGAACTATATGGGTCCCTCTTGGGAAGGCCAGCTGACTGGCTCTGTCATAAGGAAGCTCTGGAAATGGTGACATGGTGCACACTGAAAAAGTCCCAGAGGGGATAGAGTCATGATGGGTTTTCTTCTGCTATAGTTTTGCTGTGTGTGTGTGTGTGTGTGTGTGTGTGTGTGTGTGTGTGCACGCGTGCTGAAACCAGGCAATCAGAACACTTCTGCTTTCTCCAACAGAACAGAGCTCCATCTGTCCCTCAGTCTTCTCCCAGCTGCTTCTGAGGTCGCCTAACTGGCATCCTTCTCACTTCTTTCACAAAGCCTTTCTTAGGACATTGTCCAAAAACCTGGCTTCCGTTCCCACTCCGATATTTCCCAGTTTCATTTCATTTTGCTCATCAGCTTTCTGTAGTGAAAGTCATGGTCGACCATCTTTCCTCTGTTATAAATGAACTTGTTTCTGCAGCAAAATGGAAACCCAATCTACTCTTTCTACCTGAGCTGCATTGTTAAACAAGAGTTAGCAACATGGTCTAGGCATGGGCAGCTCAGTGGATGAAGTGGATCTGCTGTGCAAGGATGCAGCAGTGTGGGTCCCTGGAGCCCGTGTAAAAAGCCAGGCAGGCGTGGCTGCCACCTGTTATCCCAGCAAGCAGGAGGCAGAGGCAAACTGACTAGCTAGACTAGCCAGCATTGGCTAGATCTGGATTCATCGAGAGACTCTGCTCTAATAAATAAAGTGGAAGTGATGGAGGGAGGTACCTGAAGCCAGTGTCAGACCTCCACATGCATACACACATATTTGCTAACACACACACTTGCATATACAAGTGACAATGCACATGAAATATACA